CTCCTCTCCTTGAAAGTTTCCTGTGACTTCCTGTCATTCTCACAGTACAAGCTACAGTCCTCACAGGGACCCTCACATGACCTGGTCCAATACTGCCTCTTTCACCGGATGTTACTACCTTCTCTCTGGTCTCTGCCCAGGCTGAAAGGCACACCGGGCATGAAGCTGCTGCACTGTGGCCTTTGTAATTGCCCGGAATGTTCTCTTCCAGATGTCCACATGCCTCACTCAAATGACTAAACTGACAGCTTTTCAGTGAGGTCTTTCCTCATCATCTCAATCTAAAATTATATCTCTCAGCCGACTCGGTGGCTCAGCCTGTAATCTCGCGCCTTTGGGAAGCTGAGGTGAGTGGATTGCCTGAGCCCGTGGGTTCGAGACTCGCCTGGGCAACTTGGCGAGACCTCATCTCTACATAAATCAAAAATTAGCCGGGTGTGGTAGCATGCGCCTGTAGTTCCAGCTACCTGGAAGGTTGAGGCGGAAGGATCGCCAGAGCCCAGCAAGTCGAGGCTGCGGTGGCCGGGAGTGGCCACTGCACTCCAGTCTGGGCGACAGAGTGAGACTCCAACTCTAAATAAATAAATAAATAAATAAAATTATATCTCTCTCTTCCTCAACATTATGCTTCTTCTCTACTTAATTTTTCTTTAGTACTCACTAAAAAACCAGTGTGTATGTATACACACACATATATATGTTATTTATTTTGTGATCTCCCTCCGCTACCATACATAAACTCTGTGAGGTCAGGAATTCTTGTCAGTTTTGTTCACTGACATGCACTCAGCACTTACAACAGTCATTCAAAAAATATTGACTAAATGAATAAATGCTACCTACCCTCTATAATAACAATAAAATGTGTAAAGAGAATTACCCAAGTATGACAAGATGAAATAAAATGGTATGACCACAAAGTGTCATATTAACCGTAAAAGAAAAAAGCACAAAAACACAATTAACCAGACAAAACACATTTCTTAAAAAAGGAGAAAAGAGTACAACAAAATACAAAGAGCAAAACCTATAAGAAAACAAAACACAGATGTAAAAACAAAAACCACATGACTATATAATTAGATGTAGAAAAAGCTACTGATAAAATTCAGCACTCTTTCTTGATAAAAACCCTGGAACATACCTCAAAATAGTAAAAGCCATCTATGAGAAACCCATAGTCAGCATACTCCTAAACAAACAAATACTGGAACAATTTCCACTGAAAACCGAAACAAGACAAGGATGCCCACTCTTGTCCCTCCTGTTCAACATAGTTTTTGAAGTCCTGGCTAGAGCAGAGAAGAGAAGGCGATCAGGGGTATCCAGATAGGAAAAGAGGATGTCAAGTTATCTCTCTTTGCAGATAACATGATTGTATACCTTGAAAACCCAAGAGAATCTGCCAAAAACCTCCTGGCACTGATAAAGGACTTTGGCAAAGTCTCGGGGTATAAAATAAATGCACAAAAGATAATTGCATTTCTGTACACCAAAAATAAACAAACAGAAACCCAAATAAAAAGCACAATTCCATTTACAATAGCCACACACACAAAAATGAAACACCTTGGCATCTTCCTAACCAGAGATGTAAAAGAGCTTTACAATGAAAACTCAAAACACTGCTCAAACAAATCAAAGATGACACAAACAAGTGGAAAAATATTCCATGTTCATGGATTGGAAGAACCAACATTGTTAAGATGTCCATTTTACCTAAGGCAATCTACAGATTTAATGCAATACCATCAAATTACCAGCAACATTCTTCTCAGACCTAGAAAAAACAATTCAGAAATTCATATGGATACATAAATGACCAAGAATAGCCAAAACAATCCTCACCAAAAAAAACAAAGCAGGAGGTATCACACTACCAGATGTTAAACTTTACTATAAAGCTACAACAATCAAAACAGCCTGGTATTGGTACAAGAACAGGCATACAGACCAATGAAATAGAATTGAGATTCCAGAAGCGAAACCTCAATTTCTCAACCAACTCATCTTCAACAAAGCCTCCACCACCCACTACTGGGGAGAGGAGAACCTATTCAGTAAATGGTGCTGGGGAACTCGCTGATCACATGCAGAAGATGTTTGAAACAGGATCCCTACCTATCCCCATACATAAAAATTAACTCTAAATGGATCACAGACCTAAATGTAAAAGCTCAAACTCTAAGAACCTTAGAAAATGCAGGAGACACTCTTATGGAAGTTGGAACTGGCAACCGATTCCTGATCAAAACCCAAAGTGCCCAGGCCATAAGAGATAAGATAGACAAGTGGGACCTCATTAAACTGACAAACTTCTGCAAAGCAAAAGAAACCATCAAGAGAGCAGGGAGACAGCCCACAGACTGGGAAAAAATATCTGCCAACTCCATGTCTGACTAAGGCCTAACATCAAGGATCTATAAGGAACTCAAACATGCTGAAAAGAAAAAAACAAACAGCCCCATTACAAAGTGGGCTACAGATATGAATAGATACTTCTCAAATGAAGACATACAAGGAACCAACAGATACATGAAAAAATGTTCAGCTTCGAGGAGATGCAGATTAAAACTACACTGAGATTCTACCTAACTCCAGTAAGAATGGCCATCACCAATAATTCAAAAAATAACAGATGCTGGAAAGGATGTGGTGAAAAGCGAGCACTTCTACACTGTTGGTGGGAGTGTAAACTAGTACAGTCTCTGTGGAAATCAGTGTGACAAGTCCTAAAACTCCTAAAAATTGAACTTCCATATGATCCAGCAATCCCCCTACTGGGAATATACCCAGAGGAACTCAGGTCACTCTATAAAAAAGAAAACTGCACATGTATGTTTATCGCAGCATTGTTCAAAATAGCAAGAACATGGAACCAACTGTGCTGTCCATCAAAAGAGGACTGGATAAAAAAAATGTGGTACATATATACAATGGAATATTACACAGCCATAAAGAAGAACAAAATCATGAACTTCGCAGCAATGTGGATGGAATTAGAACTTATCATACTGAGTGATCTCTCACAGAAACAAAGAGATGAGTATCACATGTTCTCACTCATAAGTGGACCTTGGACAACAACCACATTACTGTAGGAAAGGGATTGAAAGTAGTGGGAAACTGGGGGGAAGGGAGAATGGGGTGGGGGCAGGGAGCTGGGATTGACAGTAGTCGATACCCACCTGGGGAAGGGGGGCATACCTCATCAATAAGGGTACCTGCACAATGAACATTTATATACCTAACCCTGAATTGTACTCCACAATTTCACAATAAAAATTTAAAGAGTCAAAAAAAGAAAACAAAACTCAATAAACAGAAGAAAATTCCTGAATTCTTAACAACTGATTTATGCTACTGAATTTAGCAAGGACATATATTCAATAAAATACAAGCTTGACTGTGAGATGATAAACAGCCCTGTAAGATGAAAAGGAGATTGCAGGACCAAATAAACAAACTGAGGATGCCACTAAATCACGATGGGACAGATACATGCATTAGAATAATAGCAAGGAATAACACATATTGCAGAAAATAAAATTAAGGACATAACACTGGATACCATCATGGTGAATAGAGATGGAAAAGACAACAAAATATAAGCAGTCAGAGAAGAGATAAAAACAAAAATAGTCTAACATAAGGCTCACTGGTATTCCTTAAGTAGGAATCACAATATATGGACCAGCAGATACACTCAAAGATATCATAAAGCAAGTACCACATCTGTAGGTTACAAGGATACCCGTGTTCTAAGAGAACTATATACAGAATGCTTATACTAAGATATAGCTTAGCTTTTGGATCTCAAACATAAATTATTTTCAAGGATCCAGACATAAAAAATTATCTAAATGAGGGGGAAAAACCAGGCCAGTCTCAGACTGTCCAATACAAAAGAGTAATTTCTGAAAAGTTCTGAGGCAAAGGAAAAGGCGTGACCCCATAATAGACTAGTAAGACACAGTCTTAGAACTACAGCAGCAGGTACACATTTCACATATGTGAGGGCCTCATGGAATATGGCATACTTGAAAAAAGGCCAATGAACTTCAACCAAAGAACTGAGGAAGGGACAAACCACAACAGGGCAATTGGTAACAAGAAATCCACCAAATATCCGAGATCCTGTACCATACCACACACTATCTGAAGAGCTAAGGATACAACAATAACAAAGGTCCTGCCCTTATAGAGCTTATATTCTGGAAGAGGTAGAAAAAAACAGATAAATATAGATTGCCAGGTGCTGAGGAATGCCACGGAGAAAAATTAAGCAGACTAAAGGGGAGAACTGCTGGGCTGGGAGCAAACAGGGACTGTTCTTTCACAAAAGAGGGTCAGGGAAACGCCTCTTATGTGGTTTCATTTGGCAAGAGACCTGAAGGGCCAAGAGACAGTGGTCTGGGGAAAGTGTTTCTGGGAGAGGAAGCAGTGAGAGCACTGGCTCTGAGATAGCAAGGAAGGTGTCACTATAGCTGAGGCGGATCGGGGACAGAGTGCCAGGAGAGGAGGCTGAGGTGCCCGGCACACAACAGCCATGACGGAAGGCTCTGTGCTTTAAGTAGCAATCCAAGCTGGGCCTGATGTTCGTGTAATACCTACACAAACAAGAGAGGATGGCTTGGAAAAGGGTGCAGAGAGAGGAACGCGCAAAGTAGTATTTAGGAATAAAGTAGGCTGAATTTGGCTAAGATGCTAGGGAGTAGTAAAGCTGAAGATGTTGAAGGTCTGAATGTTCAACTAACTGCAGAGGTAAACTATAATTATTTGTCTAATAATTACTAATATGCTACAAAAACTTTTTAAAAGCAATCTGAAATAATGCTTGCTTTTTGTTAAGAATGAGTTAGTCAAAAGATGCTTTCAAATCACTAATTAGCAATTTGCCACCTGGCAGCTCCAACTACCCATAAGGAAGACACATTTTAAAAGACAATGTTTTCCAAAAGATTCAACAAAAAGCCACAATGAAATACACTGTGCATCACCTGTTTTTTTCACAATGGAAACAACAAATCCTATCAGGTCCACCTCAGAACAAGGCGGCTGAAAGTCTGGATCTAATAATCTGCTGAAGTGAAGGGGCTCCCTTGGCTGATAAACATGGAATAAGAGTTCATCTGAAGCCTACAGAAAACAAAGCAAAACAAACATTCAGTATATGGAGTTTCTGTAAACTAACATGTGTTTATCAGAATTGAAAAATTACAACGAAAGGTTTATACCGGTAGTTGTTGATACTGAGTTTTTTTTGTTGCTGCTAACTGTATGCCAGCTCTTTCAGATTTACTTTTAGATTTTGATGTTGTAAGATGATAGATTCTGTATCTCTTTCCCTCTGTTAACAGGGAATACAAATCTGATGATGGACGCCAGACACTCAATATTACTGTTTAAAGAAAGATGAAAAAGAGACAATGTGAAGAACTGTAGAATCATTAAAATTCTTGTTTAAAAAATAAATACAGATAACAATAAAGATCTAAGGATTATTTAATCACTTTGTGGATGCTGATAGCCCATTTGATCCTCTGATATAACTAATTCTATATTCATATCGCATTTGCAATCACTTTATTAATAAGATGATTTTTTTAACTTAACAAAAGACCGAGAAAAACAAAACATTTGCATACTGACCTGAATCTTTTTCTCTGTTTGCATAGCTTGCAATACGCAACTTCCACACAGCTGTGACATCCCTTGATAAACTTCGTTCCCCCTGTTCAGCAGATTCCACAGCCTTCCTGAATTCCGACTGGATCTGTGCTTGTTTCTTATCATTCAACATTTGCCTATGATTATTCAAGGCTCTTAACTGTTCTTCACTGAAATAACCCTGTGACCGTTTAAGATATTGGAATAAAAAGCAAAACAAAACAAAAAAGTCTCATCTACTGTAACTAGATCATTTTAAATGGAAATAAAAACAACAAAATTGAGTTCATTTTAACAGTGTGGACTAATGTACTCTGCTTCTCACACAGTATTCTCAAATGCCTCCAACTGTTACTTGTGACAAATTCCCTCAAGGGCAAAAACAATCCCCTAATTATAAATGTACTCTAATAATCATCAACCATCTATATTATAAATGGCTAACACACAAATGCTCGCTGTATTTGAGAAATAGATCTATGTGTGGTAAATGTATTGATTAACGTAATCCTCACAACGATCCTATGAGATAGGTACTATTATTGTTCCCAAGTTATAGATGATAATGCTGAGGCACAAAGAGGATAACCAACTTGCATAGGTCAGACAGGCTGAAGGCCTAACAACTCTCATTCTTGGTCTCTGTCGAATAATTTCATTAATTCCTTGAAACAGTAGGTTTAAAGCAGACAAGTACTACAAGCACTGTTCTTTTTTAGAGACAGGGTCTCACTCTGTCCCCAGGCCAGAGTGCAGTGGTGCAATCGTAGCTCTGCAGCTTCGAACCCCTGGGCTCAAGTGAACACAAAAACTTTGATCTTTGTCTGTTCATCTCCCCCACTCACTTTAGCAAACACCTGCCAGTTCCTCTTAGGAGTCATTTCCAGGGTAACAAAAATAAATAAATGAATAAATAAACTAATACAATTAAATAGGAAATGAAATCTAGACATAGAACATACTTGACTGCTGCTGTCTGACATATCTTAATATCCTAATCTATGCTGAGAAGTGACACTATACCATCTCTGTATCTTGTAAAGGACTTCCTAAATATGCAGTGTTTACTTTAAACTTTTTTTTTTTTAACCTGGGATTTCAGAAGGTCTATGACATGAAATGTTGTCACTGAAAACAATTCTTAATAGGGCTATTTTAGAAATGGATTGTCACATTCCCCTCCAAGAATTACAGCAACAACTTTAAGTCAAATCTCATAGAATAATAGTCTCTTAAAGCCTTAGTAATAAACAACTCTTAGATTGTGCCTTGATAGAGAAGAGCTTGAGAGATAAGTTACTTGTCCAGTCATAGGGTGCCAGGGCAGGGCCAGGGCTAGAACAGAGTCCTCCAACTCCCATTCAGCCCCCTTAATTCCCCCTTATAATATCAATAAATTCTATAAAAGAAAAACAGACTAAAAAACATTTTGTTAAATTTTCTGTATGAAAGTAAAACTATTTTCATGATTCATAGAATGCACAAGCTTTAACAAATAAAATAATGTTATAAAAAATAGAGGCTAATAATTTTTCAGAAAGGCATAAGTACAGGCCTTAGTAGTCTCATTCTGAATAGAATTCTCTCCTATTCCCAAATGTCACAGTTTGGATTCTCCTTCTGAGAAATGAGGCCAGTCCTAAAGCCATGAGTTTACTTGCTTCAGGGCTTGTTATCCAGGCTTGAGTGCAGTGGCACGATCACTGCTCACTGCAGCCTTGATTCCCTGGGCTCAGGCAATCCTTCTGTCTCAGCCTGCTAAGTAAACCAGGAATACAAGTGTGCGCCACCACACCCAGCTAGTTTTTTTATTTTTAATTTTTGTAGTGATGAGGTCTTGCTCTGTTGCCCAGGCTGGTCTCAAACACCTAGTCTCAAGCAACCCTCCCACCTTAGCCTCCCCAAGTGTTACAATTACAGGCCTGAGCCACCATGCCTGGCAGGAAGTAGATCATCTTAATATATGAAATGCTGCTCTAAACACAGAAACTAACATTTATATGAAACTTTTCCACACATTATCTAATCTGATCCTAAAACAACATATGCCCAGTTTATAGCTATTTTATTCCTATTTGCTTAGCTAATAAATGATAGGATCATGGTTCTAAAAGCCTATGTGATTTGTAGCACAGTTAGTGCTTCTGAAAATTTTTCACCTGAGTTACCCTTAAAGTAGAAGATTATGAAATAAACTCTAGGTAGGACCTGAAAAAGAGCTAAGAGCATGGAAACTAAGCCACTGCTTTGAAGGTACTTGTTTTATCTTCAAAATAAACAACTTTCACCTCCATTTTAAACCACACTCGTTTAATATGTAAAACTCCTGGACCCGCCCAACCTCCATTTGGCATAAATTCAAAATGTACTTCACTGGTTTGGCACATCAAGGACTCCAGAAATGTACATATCTCCCTTTAGAAACACAGCGTTTCAACATACTGCTTCCTGCTATGGTCAGAGGGTTAATGGAGCTTCCTACCTCAAGGTTAACCACGCACTCTCTCACCTCAAGGTAACCTGGGTCTGGTGCATTCTTCACTGCTTCATAAAGCTCTGCACCATCTTGCAGAGCACGAACTTGCTGTCTTGTTAGTGCACGAGATGGTATATGTCGTTTTGTTGTGTTTTCTAGGAGAAAAAAAAGCATCACTAATTAGGCAAGCCACAAACTTAAAAACAAAACTAGGGAATCAAGCAAAAAACACCCAATGAAGGGACATTAAAAAAATAAGAAACCTCTTAGGATCTTTATTAGGGTAGAAAAAAAAGATAAACCATTTGTCTGCTAAAAGTTTTCTAGGAAAATTTGAAACTGGAACTGGTATATCCATGGTTAAAAAAAGTCACACAGTTTACTTAATTTCTAAATTAAGTACAGTCATAACTATTGCATTTTACTTTACTGTGCTTTGCAGGTTTTCTTTGCCCGTGTATTGAAGGTTTGTGGCAACTCTGTGTTGAGCAAGCCTACCCGTGGCATTTTTTCCTATAGCGTATGTTCACTTTGTGTCTCTGTGTCAATTTTTGGTAGTTCTTGCAACATTGCAGATTTCTTCATTATTATTACATCTGTTATGGTGATCTGTGATCAGTGATCTTTGATGTTACTATTGTAATTGTTGTGGGGTACCAGAAAGCAGGCCATGTAATATAGCAAACTTAAACAAATGTGTGTGTTCTGACTGTACCACCGAATGGCCGTCCCCTATTTCTCTCTGACTTCTTGGGCCTACCTACCTCCTGAGACACAACAATATTAAAATCAGGCCAATTAAGAACCCTACAGTGGCTTCTAAGTGTTCAAGTAAAAGGAAGAGATACATGCCTATCACTAAATTTTAATCAAAAGCTACAAATGGTTAAGCTTGGTGAGAAAGGCATATGGAAAGCCGAGATAGCCTGAAAGGTAGGCTCTTGCACTAAACAGTCAGCTAAGTTGTGAATGCAAAGGAAAAGTTCTCAAAGGAAATGAAAAATGCTACTCCAGTGAACACACGAATGATAAGAAAGTAAAAGAGCTTCATTGCTGATATGGAGAAAGTTTGAGTGGTCTGGACAGAAGATCAGATCAGTCACAGAATTCCTTTAAGCCAAACCCTAATCCAGAGCAGGGCCCTAACTCTTCAGTTCTATGAAGACTGAGAGAGGTGAGAAAGCAGCAGAATGAAAGTAGGATGCTAGCAGAGGGTAGTTCATGAGGCTTAAGGAAAGAGGCTGTCGCCATAACAAAAGCAGCAAGTGCTGACGTAGAAGTGGCAGTAAATTATCCAGAAGATCTAGCTAAGATCACTGATGAAGGTAGCTTCGTTAAACAACAGATTTTCAGTGTAAATGAAACAGCCTCTGTAGATGAAAGACAACTTTACTGCAGTGGTCTGAAACCAAACCTCTGAGATCTGCCTGTAAATGATTTCAAGATTCACTTATTTATAAAAATTGTATGAGCCAGTGATAATTTCAAGCAAATAAAATATTAGGAGTCTAGTATCTTTCTGCAGATTTATATAAAACATGAATTTAAATAATATAAAAATCACAAGGAAATGCAGAAAAACAAAAAGGCTAGAAAAAGTACAATTTATGGCCTTTAAAAACACTACGATTTTTATTATTAAAATTGATGCCACAGGGCTAAAAAGTCCTAGTTCCAAGTATATTAACACATTAAACTAATAGCCACAATGACAAAAATACAAGTAATATAATGTAGGTAAGGATATTGAGGTTTAAAAAGTGGCAAATAGTTAGGGGAAAATAATCTGACAGTTTTCTCCCTTGTTGCTCTTCTTTTGCTAATACCAAAAAGACAAGATACTCCAGATACTTGAGCACTGAAGCTTAAGAGGGAGTTTAGTTAAGCCTTCCAGAAAGTGCTGTAAGTAAGTTTGTTTTATTGTCTACAATTACAAGTATCTAAAAAGCTCAGTGTATTGAATCAAAATGTGATAATATGGAGTTAGTTTACTGCTTATCTGTATAGCAGTGTAAAATGTTTAAAAAATCAGAAAAAAATTCAGATCCAGAAAAATAATCTAATTATTACTCAAAGACAATTCACTCAATTACAAAGGTTAAACGTAGAGGAAGCCTCTGAAACTTTGTTCTCATATAAAAAATAAAAATTGCAACATATTTACCTTCATGCTCTTCCAATTCAGCTTGAACTTTAGTGAACAAGGCTTCCAGCCTCTTTTGCTGGGCCTCTGCATATTTTGCTGCTTCCTTTTCTTCTTCTCTTTGATTGCGAAATAAGTATAACCCAGACGAAGTCTTCTCCATCCACTGCAATACAAAAAAAAGTCATGGTAAGAGAGGGGACATTCAAATTAACTGTCTCAAAAGAAAGAAATACACACAGTAAGCAAGTAGGAAAGAAGGCATCATACCTGCATAGGGTATGTTCTTAGAATAATCACATCAGTGCAGCCAACATTTCCTCCATCACTGAAAAGTGATGACAAGGGCAGAGGAAAAGGTCTAGGATCAGGAAAGAATCCGAGTTTGGTATACCAGCAAGCAGGCCGAGTACTGTTAGCAGAAATCTGGACCGATTAATGAACAAATTAATTAATAAGTTAAATATACATTCAATTTTATTACCAATTTCATAAGTGTTTTCATTCCTTTAGGGCTGTTTTTAAAATATTCACTTTCAGAAGTCTTATGAAAATTAGTAAGAAAGTGAATAAGCAGAAAAATTGTATAAAAGTAAAAATATTTTCAAAATATAGTGCTTCTCAAAAGTACTGTTCATACTGCTATAAGGTCTAAATTCTATATAAATACTTATATTAGAAAACAGATAAAAGAGATTTTCACTTAAATACGATGGATGAAAATATACTTATTTACCTAGGCGCCCTCAAAAAACCTACAAGGACAAAGAGAACTAGAGAGAACAGGAGATATCAACAACATTTTTGGAAGTTCCAAAATTACTGGACAAGTAAATGACAAAACAGCCTTAGAATGATTATGACAAATACAAATAGCAAACACTCTACAGCACTTATTATTGGCCTGGCATGGTGTTAAGTGCTTTACATACATCAACATTTAGATATTTTTTTATCATAAAACTTAAGTATATGGAAAATTATACAACCAGCCCAAAGTTACTCAGCCACCAAACTTGTTGTAAGAAGTCAATATAAAACAAAACAACGGAAGGAAAACACTTTGAAATTGGAGGCAACAGGTACCTTTAAAGGCAGGACGTAAGGAGGGGCTGAAAACAGAAAGAAATGGTTGAAATTCTGTACAAAGATAATTTTATATAAAGGAATTTATACCACATTTCCTCTCCTATCCCAAGGAGCCAAGTGGCTGTCTTTCCTTCATACTAGAAAAAAAAAGGAAAAAAAGCATTTACTTTCTGGAGAGGGTGCGCCATACATCTCCTGGACTCTGGAAAACCAGGCAAAGGCAACTAGGGTGGGGATGAGGTGCTTATTTAAAAACAAAACAGGCCGGACTCGGTGCTCAGCCTGTAGTGGCAGCACTCTGGGAGGTCAAGGCGAGTGGATTGCCTGAGCCTGCGGGCTAGAAGACCAGCCCAGGCAACTTGGCAACCTCGTCTCTACAATAAATAAAAAACTAGTCAAGTGTGGTAGTGCGTGACTGTAGTTCCAGCTACTTGGAAGGCTGAGGCGGAAGGATCACCGGAGCCCAGCAGGTTGATGCTGGTGTGGCTGTGAGTGTGGCACTGCACTCCAGCCTGGGTGGAAATTCTTATGTTAAACATGAGTCTCCTATTAGTTTCTTTTCTTCTGTTTTTTTT